AAACGCGTTTTGGCTGCAAGTGGATTTATGATACACCACTGAATACATTAGTATTACTTATATGTTTTTATATAACCCCTTTTTTTGTTTTTATATATAGTCTGTATATTTTAATACTGATAATAAACATATTTGCTATATATTATACCTATTGCATCCTGCACAAGTGATTCAAGAAAGGGATAGTGTCACCCTATAATTTGACACTGAACCTACATACTTAGAGCCAGTTATAAAAAGGCTCTTAAAAAGGTGAGCACTTTTCCTGGTTTTTATCCACATTGATACACGTTGGTATTCTAAATACTACACTTAGTTTGGACGCTTTTCTCTGTTTTATCTTAACATACTCTGGAGAACAACAGACGGTCCATCATTGAGAGAGAGGGGTTGTGTGGTCTACCCAAAAGACACAGACGTTTGGAAGTTTAGAGCCTTACCACTGTAAAAGGCTCTAAAAAATGTGAGTTAATTTACATTCGAACTCACATATATAATTGAAATTAATTCTTTAGACATATTGCACTATTATTTGTATATATCTGTTTTTTTCCCTATATATATGTATACGGAAATACGAGCATTGTATAGATGGTAAGTGCTTTCTGGCACTACATATATATATTCACAATATTCAAATTTACACTGAAGCGCTTCACTCACGGGAATTGAGGATTTAAAGGGATAGACACCTGATAAATCTGTAAATTTCCTCCATTGTTTTTGGTGATTTCTATGTATGTTGGGTTTTTAGGAGTACCCACAGAGTGTATAGCAGCTAAATTCACTTTAATATAATAATTCTATAGCGCCACTTTTCCACAACCTGTGTGTGTATACTCAATCTCTGTATTGTTGTCAGTTCTGTGTATTGTATCGGAATCTCTCTATTGTACCTAGCTTTAGGCATAGTATGAATAACTCTGTATTGAACAGGGAGTACTATTAGATGTTGAGTACATAGGGGTAAGTGGACAGATGAAATAAGTCATAAGATGATACCTACATAGTTAAAGGGGCAGAGTCAAATGGGAGAAGAGTGGTGGCATCTTAAAACTTCACCAGCCACCACTGATTGAAAGTACGTTCTAGGTGTCCCAGTCTTTGTTCAGAGGACAACTTCCATACTCTGCATTAGTGTGGTTTTTCAGAACTTAACAATTTAGTCAACCCCACTTTTTACCCAGTTTTTATTATTAGCATTTAAAAAGTGCCGACTTATTCCTCTGCACTTAATTTACAATGTTATAAAGAGGGGGATTTAACAACAAATGATACAAACTATTACAATTTTGACAGGGAAACTAGGTTAATGAGGAATCTGCATGAAACTAGCTTTCAATCTAGAGAAAGTGAGGTATAAAAACAAAATAGGAACGGCAGTGTGGGAGATAGGAACCAAGTGACAGGGTGGGAAAGTAAAAGAATTGGAATCAGGGAGTGAAGTGGAGAATGGACCTACAGGAGTGACAGTTACCCTCGGAGCCCATAGCCTATTCTGAAGAGGTGGATTTTAATGGAATTCTTAGTGTTGAATATTAAGGGAGAGTCTGATGGAGGATGGCAGGCTATTCCATAATAAGTCCTGTAAATGTAAGTTAGCAGTATGAGTAGTGAACAGGAGAATGTCCCCAGCAGAGTGAAGTGGCCAAGAAGGGATGTATCTGTATATTAGCATGGAAATGTAGTGGGAGGCTGAGTTGTTGAGAGTTCTGTTTGCAAGAGTTAACATTTATAATTTAATCCAATTGGGTACAGGAAGAGAATCTAATGATGGACTGAGTGGTGAAAGGAACAATGAGAGGAAAATCAGCCTGGCAGCAGCATTTTTTTAAAGGGACACTGTAGGCACCCAAACCACTTCAGCTCATTTAAGTGGTCTGGGTGCAGTGTCCATTTTGCACCTGGTGCTGCAATGTAAAATATTGTAGTTCCAAATAAACTCTAATGTTTACATTGCAGCTCTAAGTCTGCCCTCAGTGGCTGACTACCAGACAGCCATTAGAGGGTTTCCTGAATTAAAATGGACCTGCACAAGGACCTCCAGCATCAGATTTTTTCCCCATAGGAAGGTATTGATTCAAAGTTTCCTATGGGGAGGTCTAATGTGCGTGCGCATTTGCCGCACATGAGCATTAGCGCCCACTCTTTGTTGGATGCCAGAAAAGCCAGAGCATCGACATCGGCGCTGGGAAAAGCTAAGTAAATAAAAGTTTTTTAACCCTTTATTTACCCATGAGGGGGGAGGTAGAAGGAGCGACAGTGGCAGGAATACAGCTTTGTATTCCTGGCACTATAGTATCCCTTTAAGGACTGTAGAGAAGCAGTATGGTTCTCCAATTAAGGGAGAATTACAGTAATCAAATGCGAGAAATGACAAGAGCACGACCAAGCTCCTTAGCAGTGGATGCGGAGTAGATGCGGGCAATGTTTTTAATGTAAAATTGGCAGGAGTTGGCAAAAGACCTGATATGAGATGTAAAGGTGAGGCCAGAATCAAAGATAACACCAAGTCAGTGAGTGTGCAAGGATGGGCTGATGCGCGTACCAACAACTTGAAGGGAAAGCAGCAAGGGAGCCGGCGAGTAACACTCACTTTGTGCACCATTTTTAGTGCATGCCATTTCCCCTCAAAAACAACAAAAAAATGCCAAAATAATGAAACACTGTGGCAAATGTGGGCCAAAAAATGTGGGCAATTCAAGACTTCAATTCAAATGAACTTCATAGAAAAGTTAACAAAGAGCAGGTGTTTTCTTTCAATAACCAGAAGTGAGCCAGGACCTAATTCAGTTTTTCAACCACAGAGATACTATTTCCCTTTCCGTTGAAATTTTGATTATTTCATACAATTAGACTAAATACTTATATAGTGGTTGCAAAGTAATATTATATGACAAAACTATGATAAAATGTGATTGATGTGCTCACAAGCATGGCTAGATTATTATTGTAAATATAGAGACGATATAAGGATATAAAACATCCAGCAGGCAGTCTCTGAATGACGCATTCTAAACAAAAGTGTATAATTACATAAAGCATGGGATTATTTTCTGGGTGGAGCAGAACAGGAGGTCTCTTACATTGCATTACAGTGAGCTAGCTAGCTCAAAATCAGTAGACTTGATTAAATCACAGAAAAACTGAGACTAGTCATAGAGACAAATCTATGAGTGGGGCTCAGATTGCTCTACGAAATGATACAAAGTACTTATGGTGCATAGATTAATCCTTTAAATATAAGAACAATGACATTTTATATATTTTTTTTGCTTAATTTTTAAATAAAATTGCTCTGTTCGGCAAAGGCAATTTCTTGGTGATATTCCACTTTGAGTGCATTACATTATAATTTCCACTAGATGGCAGTCTTTCATGGGTGATCATTTCTACACTAGCATCTAGTAAATGATCACAAAGGCAAAGTCTTTTAATTCAAGCAGAGATTATAGGTTAATAATCTTTAATGCTAAAATATGTATTTTATCTTTTAATGATAAAACCTATTTAATGGTTTTTAGATAAACAATGTAAGCTGAGGAAAACAGTAATTTGTGAAGTTAAGAATACATCATCATAGAGTAGTATCACTTTGACCCCTTAAAACCTTGCACTTTTAACTCCAGGCAGGATCCTAAGGGCCCTTCAGCCTTTCAGAGTTGATAAAATGACCATTGTAGATGCACAATATATTCCACAACCTATTTAATAAAAATGGGAACGCTAGATAAATCCTTCCCCATATAAGAATTTGTTGTTGTAATCATTAACTGAGGTGTCAATTCAGAAAAATAAATTCAACACAAAAACATGATTCCAAAACTGTTAGTTTACAGTAAAAAGATCACGAAGCAATTGATGGAAATCTTATTGAAATATAGGTAATGATAAAAAGCAATGCTAGAATAAAAAGTAGCACTGAAGGTGACCAAGTCCAAGATCATGGATATAGCCATCACAATAGGTAACTAAAAAAAAAAGGTCATATAAAACATTCAGTGACAGCACAACAGAGAGCATGTATCACTAATAGTTATTAGTATCACTAATTGTTATTATATACTGTTAATAATAGAACATAAGGAAAAGTTCTTGAGAAGGCTTCCCCAACTACAACATTTGGAAAGTTAGAGACACTACAGTCACCAAAACAACTTAATGAAGCAGTTTTGGTGTATAGATCATGCCTCTGCAGTCTTACTGATCAATTTTCTGTCATGGAGGAGTTAATTTGCTTTGTTTATGCAGCCCTAGACACACCTCCTGGCATGTGACTTACACAGCCTTCCTAAACACTTCCTGTAAAGAGTCACTTTATGTTTAAACTTTGATGTGCATTCTGTTTAATTTAAAATTTCTGATCTCCTGCTCTGTTAATAGCTTGCTAGACCCTGCATGAGCCTGGAGTCAGAGCCAGGGGACATGTGTCTAGGGCTGCATTAACAAACAAAAGTGATTTAACTCCTAAATGGCAGAGAATTGAGCAGTAAGACTGCAGGGGTTTGATCTATAAACAAAAACTGCTGTGTTACACATTTCTGTATACCAAATAAGTATATTCACGTATTGTATTTTGCTGTTTGCATACGGAGGTCTGCGCGCCTCATTGAATCATTCTCTATATATCAATAAAACAGATTTACAAAAAAAAAAAAACATATTAACTGAATAATGTATAGAATATGTGAGACACCAACCTTAACCCTAAGAAAGACAATATCACTTGACATGATGGATTTAAACACATATAATTAAGTCTGATCTCCCCTATCTTCTTCTCCCAATAGTGTAAGAGGGTAAAAAGAAGGGAATACGGAGTATGGATGGATCCCTGCCAAAATGTCCCTGCCTGTGTCCGCAACTAGTGCGGTGGAGTGGATACCATGTAGTGGCTTAGAGAATGCCCTCTACCTGTTTTTCTACTTCTTTGTCAGTGGGGTAGAAGGTAATAGGTACTTTTAGCCCAATGATAACTGGACTAGGCGATGGCTTGTCCAAATACCAATATGACCAGTTAGAGAGTTATTTTTTTAAAAAAGTACCACTACTGCTACAACTACTGAAAATAGGAGTGGGGGTGAAAGGCCATTTAACATTTATTATTTGGATCCAGGGGCCCTGACACATTTTTTGAAAATACATCAGGTGTTTATAACTGCTGGATCTCATACACCAGTTTCATTTTGGCACTGGCAGGTTTAATCATGAAAGTGAGAATTGTGGGGTATTCAAAGTGAATGTCAAATTTAAGGCCAAAATAGCCTAAATGGAAACAATTTAAAAATCAGCTATGCTTCCACTTCTGCTTCTTTAGCCTTAAATTTT